GGGGGGGGGGGGGGGGGGGGAGTTCTTCTAACTCCCAAAATCTTTTTAATGGATAATTGAGGTATTCGTTTGAAATATCTTCAACTTGAGTTTTAAATACCGATATTTTTGCTTTGACTTGGCCGCTTATAATCCATCCGAAGGTGGCTAATAGGGTATTAGAGATTTTTTAATGCCTTTTAGTAATATTTGGGGTATTAGGTCGCTGCCTAATAGGATATCAACTTGCGCGGGGGTGTGGCAGTTGGGATGCGCTAATTTGAGGTGGGCGAATTTCTGACGATCTTTGTCGTTTATTTTGTAGCTTGGAAGCATATTTGTTAGTTGCGGCAGAAGTATAGCTTGTGCTTCTATTCTTACATTCGCATTGGGGAAATCAGGGTTAATGAGCAGATTTTATTAGAGTTTTGTATTACTCTTCCACCCATTCCCGAAATTTCAAAGTTTGAGTTTGTGGTAGGGAGTTTTAATCGGTTTTGTGCTTTTGCTGAGATAAACGATCTTTGTGAGCTTTGATCGATTAGAGCTCTAAGCTTAAATAATTCTCCTCGATGTTCAATCGAATGTTTTTGAACAGCATGGTTTTTCGATTTAAACTTCGGGGTTTTCGGGTATAGTTGTTGTAACTAGACCTGTGGCTCTTTGAGAGTTAGAGCTATTTTTGCGGGTAAAATTATTAATACGGAGCATCGAGTGATGCTGCTTTTGGCAATATACACAATTAAATTTACTCTCACAGTCTTTTTGCGTGTGAGAGTGTGAGAAGCAATTTGTGCAAAGCCTGTTGTTTCTGACGACATTATATCTTTCGGTCGTCGTAAGTTTTTTAAACTTCTCGCAAGATCTTAATGGGTGACCTCCTTTACAAAATTCACATGACGTATGTTTATTTTCGTTCATAAATGATTGCGATCTATTGAAGCTTCTATTATGTGAATTGTGATTGCTGGCTTGCTCCCATAAAAGTAACGATTTTTCTGGTAAAGTTGCGGCGCAAATATTTACCAGAATAGGGTCCCAGTTATCCGTGGGAATATTTTGAGTGGATAAAACTGATAGACAGTTTGAGACAGTGGACTTTAATTTAATATACTCTTCACTCGTTTCTTTTTGATTCATTAAAATCGTTACTTATTTATCAACCAGTACTCTTCCATTTTCG